GGAGGAAAATCCACCTCTTAGTATTTTTCGTTTTGAAAGTCGCTGGTTTATGCGCCAGGAAGCAGCCGCGAACTAGCGCCTGCGCCACGTCCTCCTACACGGAAGTGCAGCAGCCCCACCACCGCAAGTACCACCCCAGTTTCGATTATCGTCCATCATCAAAGAGCCGCCGAAATCACCGCCAAACCCTCCACTATCGCCAAATCCACCATCATCGCCGGAGTCAACGGCCAACAGCAACGAACCGCCGCATCCTCACCAGCCTGCAATCGCCCACCAGCCCTCCGTCTGTCCACGTCCGGAGTTCAGCACCCAAAAGAAGAGCCGGCCCCTTACTATTGGTCCTTCGGCGCCAACAAAGAGCCGCACCGGTGGAATAAAAATCCATAACCTCAAAGTACAAGTATCCCCAGCAAAACCGTGAGTAAAAATCAATTTTTTACTAACCCTGCGGTGAAACAAAGATTTTAAAAAGGCAGAAAATAATTCCTTGTATGTTTAGTAAACGCCAGCATTAAGTAATACATTTTCCCTTGCTCCGGCCATAAATTTTCAATTTTCCCGCCATATTTTCATTTTTCCCACCAATTTTATTTTTTTTTGCGCCAATTTTCACGAATTTTTTACCCACACAAAGACTTTTGCAAGAATACATATACATATGTACTTCACATAACATTCTGTAGCATACAAGCAAAAAGTACTTGGCGTACATATATATATACACATATACCAAAGCTCATAGTATATACCGCGGCTAATCAGTTAATCCCAAACAAACATAGAAGGAATTATAGCTGGGAATACATAACTAACCCCTCGTTTAGTAATCCCTATATATATATATACACATACATACATACACATACCCTATCACATATTGGGCATATGAGAGAAAGTGCTATATAAAATAAATAAAAATACGTACAGTGAACTCTCTATAATAACTACCCATAAAAAAGGCAAGGCGGTTACAGTGCCCGGAAAAAGAAAATACAATCCATTAGATAGATATTTATAAATTTTGCACTCAAAATATCTCCATTTGTGGTTTTCGTGAACAGGACCAAGCGTGAAAGTCCCAGATACGGTGATCCGAAATCCCTCATAAAGGCTTAAAAAGGTAAAATTATCTGGCTTATTAGATTCAAATCCCCCACTCTCTTTGAGTCCAGGTGCTCACTTGTGATTCATACAAACTTTATTGTTTGCGACCGCCTAGTAAAACCCGATTGTATTTGCTCACCCTCTCAACCAACCTTAATCACTTTCGCTCAATTCGACTTCGAATGCTAGGTCTCACTAGCACTGAAGATAAGCCAAAAAGTCCCAGAATGAGCGAAGAAGAAAAAATTCTCGAGACCCCCGCGGAGTCTCAGCGCCCTACACGATCAAGCGGAAAGCCAAAAAAGGCAAAACAATCGGTCATCTGTACTAAATTCATATCGGAGACAGATAATTTGATGGATTGCTGCGCCCGATTCAGATCAGCCCCCATCGAAGAAAATACTGAGTCCGTATTGAAAATAAAAGACAAGAGCCAAGAAAACTTTTGGAATAGAGTTCAAAACGCCTTTGATTCGACTTTGGAAATTGAAGAACATGACCTCCCCGAAGACTTTAGGGCGTCTGCCTACAGTAAATATAGGTCATGTTTAATTATATATGAAGAAACAAAAGCCCAAATCGGAGACCAACTCCAGTTAGTAGCACAAACCATAAGTCCCACTCCCAAAGCCAGTTCATCACTTCCTAAGGAAACTTCGGGCATAAGCTTAAACGTCCCACCTTGCGACACCGAAACCTTATATGGGGGTTATGAGCAATGGCCGTCCTTCCGTGATATGTTCACGGCGGTCTATATAAATCACCCTAAGCTCACTAAGGCGCAGAAGTTATACCATCTCAGGTACAAAACGCAAGGAAAAGCTGCCCAAATAGTTAAACAATTCCCTCTGAGTGACGATAATTTCGAGCTGGCATGGGAAGCACTAAAAGCTCGCTATGAAAACAAACGGGTTTTAGTAGATAACCAAATCCGCATCCTTATGAATCTAAAACCCATCCCAATAGAAAATAGCGAAGACATACAGAGACTGCAATCATCGGTGAATAACTGTCTCCAGATTCTAGGCAGCCAGCAAGTCTCCACCGAAAGCTGGGATCCCATTCTGATCTACCTGGTTACCTCCAAGCTTCCTGAGAACACCGTGGCCCTATGGGAGCAGTCCCTCAGTTCCAGGAAAGACCTCCCGAACTGGTCCCAAATGAACCAGTTCCTCACTACTCGATACGAGGTGGTTGAAAGGGTAGATCAATTTCGTGCACCCAAGCCTCCGCGGACTAATCCTTCGAACATAAGCTACTCGAGGCCAACCCCCCCCCTAACAGTAGGCCATTCCCTAAACCCCCCACCTCTCAGAACTCTCACAACAACTCCTTTTCCCAAATCCGAGCGCACATGACGGAACAACGCACAAAACTATACAAATGCCCAATGTGCAATAAACCTCAGCACACTCTCTCTCAGTGCTCCAAATTTCGTCAACTGCCAACTCAGGATCGCAGAAAGTTTGTGAGAGAACACAACCTCTGTTTTAATTGCCTATGTCAGACCCACTTGATAAAAGACTGCTCAAGTAAATATACTTGCTCCCATTGTCAAGAACGGCATCACTCAATGCTTCATGAAGACACGCCCCCCATGCCGCCAAGACAGCAGTCTCGAACCCAAAGAACGACATCTCAGGTCGCTCTGACGACGCCCACTAATTCCAACCCACAAAATTCAGCTGGGTCGGAAACAACTCATGAGGAGCCTTCTTCCTCAAATAGAGCAAGAGTACAGTCGTTCTACTCGGAAAATGAGAGCAAGATTCTCCTTCCCACATCAATGGTGCCAGTTGAACACAGGGGCGAGATCTTCAAACTCAGAGCTCTCATAGATCAGGGTTCGGAACGAACTTTTATTTCCTCAAAAGCTCAAAACAAACTAAGGCTACCGTACCAAACTTCTAACTTTGAAATTTCTGGCATGGGAGGCAGAGTTGTTCAGACTTCGAACAAACTTTGCCATCTCATCTTAGCCTCCGCAGATTTGACCACGAAAATAAAGGCTCAAGCAATAGTACTATCCCAGTTAACGAAAATGCTTCCAAAATTCCAGCCAACTCTCGAACAACGAGAAAAATGGTCTCACCTCCAGCTAGCAGATACTAACTGCCACTCCCCGTCCCAAATTGATCTGGTCATTGGCAGTGACCTCATTCCTGAAATAATGCTGGAAGGCTTTGAGAAAATTTCCAAAAATTTGCTTGCACAAAACACCATATTCGGCTGGATCTTAAGTGGTCAATTTCCCGAAAAAATAGCCTGTTTCTCTACTCAAGCTACACCGATCTCCAATGAGGATTTAGATTCCCAGCTGCGAAAGTTTTGGGAGCTAGAAGAGGTTCCGAAATCCAAGCTTACTTCGCCTGATGATGAAAATTGTGAAAAATTCTATCAGTCCACCACCACACGAGCAGCGGATGGTCGTTATGTAGTCAGACTGCCCTTTAAGCCAAGCTTCCCAGACCCTATCTCCCTTGGCCCGTCTCGCACCCCCGCCCTCCAACAGTACCTGAGCATGGAAAGAAATTTGCTCAGAAAAGGCGATCTAAAATCACTTTACGAAAATGTATTAAACGAATATCTCACCCTCAACCATATGGTAGAGCTGGGATATTATCGATAGTAACATCGATAGTATCGATAGTTAAAAACTGTCGCCACTATCGATCGTTTTTGAAAACTATCGATGTCAGTTTTAGCAAGACTTCAGAATGTCTCTTCATTACATCTCTACATTAATTAATTTTTTTTTATGCAAGAAAATTCACAACACAGTCGGGAAAAATAAAAATTAAGTCACTGGGATTTTTAGCAACTATAAACTTACACTGAGTTATAGTAAAATTTAATAAGCTATAAAACTGCTTACACAAAATTTTTATAGAAACTCGAATTAAAAAGCTTGAATTTTTAATTATATGGTAGTTTTTTATGTTTTGTAAATTTTTTATAAAAAATTAGCAGACACTAAATAAACAAAAAAAGTAGTCAAAACTGCTAAAAAATGTTGTGGTGCTATTATTTTGAGCAGTACTATATTCGTTTTCTTATAAAATGGTAAAATGTTAATAATTTCCCTTGTA